CCCTTGCCGAGAACCGTTTTTTTTTTTTTTTAAGTTTTCTCATTTGTTTTTCTTTTTCTTTCTTTTTCTTTTTTGTATTGGTGAGTGTCATCCCGAAAGTTGCTGAGCCCGGCGTTTGCTGAACTACCGGTTGCTGCTCTCGGTCGACCACCTGAGGCTGCGCTGCATTAACTGGCAAGCCCGCGGCCTATAGCTGGGCCATGTACTGGTTGTTTAAGTCCTGTCTCTTATACACATCTAGATGTGTATAAGAGACAGGTGTTTGGAGGGAACCTGCCAGCATTGATTGCTCTGAAAACCAGAGGATTGACTGAGCAGGTCCAGTCAGCGGCTGTAGACACCAGGGCTGAGCAGAACCCCATTCAGCCCTGATTTGAACCGTAATGGGACGAACCCTGTCGTCCGCGTACTTCAGGCGCTAGGCGTGGGCATGTCTTGCTACAGGTCCGATCGGTGGGCTCTAGTGGAAGCTATAGGGTCTGAGCATAGTCGGACGAACCCTGTCATCTAAATACATCATGCGCCAAGCGAAGGCATGGCATTGTCTTGCTACAGGTCCCATGCGTGGACTCCAGTGGCAACCGCAAAGTCTATAAGTCATGCTGAGGCCACCAGGTCCTTTAGCTTTCTCCCGCCTTTCCTAATTTCCAGCTATAGCTTCTAGGGAGATGCCACCAGGAGATACAATAGGACCCCAGCTATAGGAGATACAATAGGACCCCAGCTATAGGAGATAGGAGATACAATAGGAGATACAATAGGACCCCTGGTGGCATCTCATGGAGATACAATAGGACCCCCGCTACAGCGTGCAAGGAGATACAATAGGACCCCAGCGATAGCGTCTCGGGAGATGGAAGACGTCACCACACTTATGGCCAGATTCACTCCGTCACCACAATTATGGTCAGATTCACTCTGATAAGTCATGACCCAAGCCATGTGATGAATACCAGCTATCGCATCCTACTGCCTACCTCTGTGTGATCCTTTCCATCGCTTCTTAAAAATATTTCAACATCACTCTGTAGCATCTCTATCCGGGGGGGCGGTGAGAGACTGACAAACATGTGAGAAACAGAGGGAGAAACAGAGGGAGAAACACAGGATGGAAAAAAAAAAAAGAAAAAGAAAAAAAAAGGATGGAGTAAGATAGAACAGTGGACTGCAAACCGTGTCCTTGATGCTCCTCGCAAACAAACAAATCTCACACGTTGATAAGCATGTCAATTTCTGTACAGGGACCCCTGGACCCGATTTCCAGCAGGTGCAGCTTCCCACCAATAGATGAAGCCTTAAAAAAAAAAAAAAAAAAAAAAAAAACACCCAGATAGGGCTGTCCATATGACAGCTCCAATCTTCCATGCCTTCAGATCCGCCATACCAATGACTTACATTACTGAAGAAGTCATCGCCTCGTCAATCTCTTCAAAATAGCAAGACACTATGGCCTCTGCCGCTTCGAGAAAACAACGAAAACAAAAAAAAGGTTGCCTCGTCTTCTTTTTTTTATTTTTTTTATTTTTTATTTTTTATTTCTATATACCCTGGATCCTAGAGCGCTTGTCAGCCGGTCTGCTTTTTCTTTTTTTTTTCTTTTTTTTCTTTTTTATTGTTATTGTTGTTGTTGTTGTTGGAAAAGCCCTATTGCAGGGCCTCTATCCAGGTGGTGGTAAGAGAACCACAAGGGTTTAGGCTTTAGGTGTTGGGCTGCTCCGTCTATTGGTGGGAGTCGCACCTGCTGGAAACCGGGTCCAGCATCCCTTGGATACATCAATCTTTTTTTTTTTTTTTTTTTTTTTTTTTTAAGGGGGCCCAGTGCCCAAGGCTGATATTTCCAATAAGAAGATTGAGGCCCGGGTCCTCACAGTCTACCCGGAGTAACTGACATCATCATGTTGAGGATCGGGCTCAGCACCCCTTAAACAGCACCAATGATGTAAGAAACTTGAAGATGAAAACAACCTCTTCAACCCTCTATCGGCCGCCAGTGGATACATCAATCTGGTACAATGTTGGGGCTGTTTCCATTAGAAAGCATATTGCCAGTCTCTTGCCCCGCGCCCTCCTCTCTCTCTCTCTCTTCCCCCCGCCCTACAAACATCAGCACTGTCTGCAAATGCTGCTCTGCAGGGCAATGTCTAGGTGATGGGAGGCAAGCGTGGCCGAGTAGGTAATGAGGTCGATGGGGACTTAACCGACAACCTCCGAAATTCCACTTGTGCACCTTACCACCTGAGCAGATCGGCCGGTGGCGCTCGAGCAGTCCTCCCCAGCTGTCCATTTCTACAAAAAACAAGAAGAAGGGGAGGAAAGGAGATAAAAACTTTTGAAAAGGAAAAGGAGCGGTATAATAACTACCACTAGAAAAGTCCCTAGTAGGTGACAAAATACATCTAGCCAAGGAAAGCACTTAGGCTGGTGTGACTACACCAGGCAAATCTTTGACTCTACCTCCCCAAACCTAACAGTAGACTGAGTAGAGTGCTCTTGTAAAACATGACCTTTTCTCCCGGAATCTACCCTCTTCCCCCGAATACAACGTACCGTTATTATAGAGGCAACATTGAGTCTGGATACAGCAATAATGAACGTACGTTGTATTCGGCTGAGCTGAAGACGGTAGTCTAGCCGAATACAACGGTAGTCTACAAAATATGTTGAATAAACTATTAAAACTCATTTCCAATTTTCCATTGGCTAATCTCGCGTTAAGCCACCAGTACTATACTTCCTAAAGTTGTGCCCGTTAACAAGCCACAATTTGAGGAAATGTACACAATTTGAGGAAATGTACGGGCCACTACAGGAGCGTCCAAATTCATCCGATTAGAAACGTTTTTTCTACTCTATTTTTTTCCGGAGGCCCATAGATGGGCCAAGTACTGGTGGTTTAAGGTTCACAATGCTCAGCAACTCACACTTACTTACCCCCATCATTCTTCGTATCTGGCCGTTGATCTCCTAGTCTACGGCCAGGAACGAAGAATGTGGGTACTAAGTGAGTGGAACCTCGGTCCGGAGAAATTTGAATACCTTGCCCATGGATTATTGGGCAGCTTCGCAATCTTTCGCATATTATCCGCTGAATGTCTTTTTGCCTTCCCATTCGCCCCAATCATGAGTCAACACACATTGTCCCATAACCCTCAGGACATCAATGCGATGTAAAGGGCTAGTACATATTAAATCAACATTTCCATTTGTGCTGCCTGACGCTGAAGCAGTAATTTGCCCCCATCAGCTCTCTCGCCATGACATTGTGTCCTCCATCTGTCTTCCCATCTGGCCTCCTCCTCATGAGGCTCTGCAAACTGCAGTAGAGTGCCGTGTGCACAACGTAAACCGGCATTTTTTCCCTTCTGCTCTGCCCGGCACTTAAACAGTTGTATCCATCAGCGACTCAGCGCACGCCCCATGTGGCGTCTGTGATGTTTCTTCCCATCGGGCTCCTCATTAGGATCGAAAATCCTCGATACGGTGCCACAACATAAGCACCGTAAACTGACATTCTTGCTTAAAAGGTTTTGTCTGAAGGTACCGAACAGCTCGGTGTAGGCCCCATGATAGCTTTCTCCTTGACCGTTTGGGGTGGTGAAGGAGTACGGCTTTCTCCTTCGGTGCTCACCGGGAGTGTCTGAGGGGGGACGTTCCTGCATAAGGATTCCACAAGGAGGCAACCAAGTCAATCATACAATGTCATTTGAAAAACAAATTAAAAAAAACGAATTTGGAAAAGAAAAGGGTCATATCTTACAGTCCCAAAGTCTCAGAAAAGAGTAAAGGCGACGACGTGGGCAATTGCATGTCCAAGTTCATTCTCTCTGCCAGTGGCTACTTTTTGCCCTTCAGCCTGCCCACTTGCTGCAAGGGTGCTGGGGTGGGCTGAATGTCACGACTGGTATGGCTTCAGTTTTGAACACCGGGTCACCGTTGCAGTGGTAAAGGCATCTGGCTGTTACAGCCGAGGTCACCGGTTAGATTCCGTCTGGCTGCGGAAGTCCGTTTGGCTGTGGATCGATTACTGGTCTACAATGATAAACTTACCAACACTAACCACGCGGCCACTTGTGAGCGTTTACTGGAATTCAGGGATAGGCAAAGGGGTACTTGGATTCTTGAGTTGGCATTTGACACAAACTGGAACCTATGTGTATGTGGTGCTCTCTCTCTCTCTCTCTCTCTCTCTCTCTCTCTCTCCTTCTTCACCCACGTCTTCTCCCTCGTACACGGAGACCACCACCACCCGCTGACTAAGTCCAAGCCCCAGTCTCTCTCTCTCTCTCTCTCTCTCTCTCTCTCTCTCTCTCTCTCTCTCTCTCTCTCTCTCTCTCCCCTTCTACACCCACGTCTTCTCCCTCATACACGAAGACCACCACCATCCGCTGACTAAGTTCAAGCCCCAGCCTGGCTATGAAGGCTGGGCTATGGCGCTCCGTGCAGCAGCGCCCTGTATCTTCTTGACGCTCGCACCTGCACCTCGCGCTAGCGCAGCAAGCAGCCCGCGAGTCAATGCTCCAGCAGTGCTGCCGCCTGCAAGTGCAAGTGCCCGAATGTGTCTTTTTTGCCTGCAAGTGCAAGTGCCCTAATGTGTCTACTGGAGCCCGGCCCTTTCCTATATGGAAAGTGGTGGGTGCTTTCCCATGTCAGACCGAGTTTCCAGTAGCTTCAGTCTCGGCCAATGTGTCTGCACCCAGGCCCGTTCAGACAGTGGCCTAGGACCGAATTGGTTAGGCATGCCCAACCACCCAGGCACAAATGTGTGGTGCTCCCTGCTTCGACCACGTTGTCGCTGGAAGAGCCTGGAAGGCTCACAAATATTTTGGATTCTCACGAGCAAGGCCGATGTTACCAACTGGTGTCTGGCAAAACTGTCTGGCGCCGACCAAGAGCTGTGAAAATTGACGAGTTCAGGGCGCATTGAGATTCAGGGGTGCCCGCCTTCACTTAGGGCGGGCACGCGCCTGCTGCAGGGCCCTATGCCGAGGCATAAATCCTCGCAATAGAAAACTGGGCCCACAAAAAAAAAAAGAAAAAAAAAAAGAAAAAAAAAAAGGCCTTATCTCACTAGAGTCCTATCCCTCAGAAAGGAACTACGGATACGGCATTTTCCTAAATGGATGTTCCTGAAGGCCCTCTTCGAATTCTCTACGATAAATGGGGGATGCTGGGATAAATGGGTAGTTTTTTTCACAGAAGGATTGACGGGGCAGCGGAGGCTGCTGTACTAGCCGACATGGTCTGACGCAGGCCCACAGGACCTTACTTTTCTACCTGGGACTCTGTAGATTTCCTGCCTCGAGTATCTTTGTCCTTTTCTTTCCCCCCCCCCCCTCCACCCTCCATATCTTAAATCCAATCTGATTGTCTATTTCATCGCCTCGCTTCCCTGTCTTTGTCCGGAATCCGCTACTGAGCTGGAGTCTTCTCCTCCTCACCTCCACTCTTCCTTGGAATGAAAACGTGGATGACCACCGGGCCAGCACTGCATGCTGTGTTCTTTTTTCGCGCATTTTCCCGCTTGCCCCCCACCTGTGCTGTTCTGACCTGACCAAGTCTTCACGGGTAGGCTACTGAACTTACTTTTTCTTTCTCAAACGTTGCAGTGTGAACGACCGCCTTGAGGTAAGAGGTGAGCTACTACTTGATGAAACTCTATTTCG